CTCCAGATAGAAATTAAAATATAACTGATTTAGATGTCTGGGTTAATTAAGTAACTTTTTAATTAATGATGGGTCATTTTCATACTTTGTTCTCGTCTTTATGATTTAAACCATTATAAAAGAAAGACGTTTTTGGTTTCAAAGTTACAAAAATAATGGTAAATTAAAAATAAACTGTACTTGACATCGCGCGATGTTCTTTACCCAAAATGGGAGCATTTTTGTGGCAATGGAATGCAAAATTAAAACACGACTCAATTTATTCCGACTCTCCTTAAAAAAATGTCATGTAACGAAATGTATATTAGTGTTTACTAATTTTTAAAATTTAAAAATAAAAATATTTACAGTTTACAAAATATCACTTGGACAGGCGTGACCATCATTACAGACAGTGTATAGATAAGGGTTAAGTATGCAGAAGGAATGTTACTAATAAGAATTCTACTCATAGAGAGTATAGTCAAGAAAAACAATTCTTGTCATCGAATAAACCCTATTTTATCTCAATATTAGAAAATAATTTGATTATTCAGGATTATTGAAGTGCAGTAACAGAATTAGGGTTTCCAAGACAATTGGATTTTACTTGCGCGCAATTGCGAGCCTTTATTTCCGCATAATTCCGCGCAACGAAGTTCAGATTGGAAACGTTACAGAATTCATCATTTTCTTTAGCAAAGATTTATACAAATCGCGTTTTTTAAATTTCTTTTTTTTATCAATTTATTTTTATAGAATATTGGGATTGAATTTTACATTTCCATCAAATTTAATTATTAGAGTCTAAAACTGAAGAAAGAAAAGTTACGACTTAAATGTTAAGTTTCAGTTTAAATGACACATCTGACTTAATTTAAACCTGAATTTTAACCCTGGGTTTAAATATTTAACTCGTCGATTTCAGCGAGTTAAATTTGAAACCCGAAAATATCCGCATTCAATTTTTTCAATATTTCAATGCATGAAAATAATCGTGTATCTAATACCAAATATGTTTGTTCCGTTTTGCGCTATAGTTTTGTGAAGAAATTAAAATCACGTATAATCTCTACAGATCCGTAATCTCCGTAATTCCCGTAATCTGATTGGTTTATATTTTCCCCGGGAAATTTAAATTTTCCTTCAGGGTTAAACTTAGAACGGTTAGTAACTCATTATTTTTCAGAACTTTTAAGCTATAACTTAAAATTCCCGCATTCTTTAGTTTTAGACTCAGGACGAAATAATTATACATCTAGCACAGGGGTCCATAGAATTCCCAAAATAGCTGATTTTCTCGATCTCAAAATAATCTTTTGCCCCCAACTTTAAAAAAAATCTCCCCAACTGTAAACGAAAATGCCCCCAATTAAAAAAACATTTTAAATTCCACAAACACATTTGCCCCAATTTAAAAAAATGCCCCCAATTAACAAAACATTTTCAAATTCCACTAACACATTTGCCTCCATTGCCCCCAATTAAAAAAATGCTCCCAATTACAAAAAATGCCCCCAATTAAAAAACATCTTCAAATTTCACTAACACATTTGCCCCCAATTGCCCCAAATTGGGAAAAAATTGCCCCCAATTGTAAAAAATGCCCTTAATTGAAAAAAAAATTTTATTTTCCAATAACAAATTTGCCCCTGATTGCCCACAATTTCAAAAAAATGCCCCCAATTTAAAAAACATTTCAAAATTTCACTAACACATTTTCCCCCAATCGGTAAAAAATGCCCCCAATTAAAAAAAACATTTTCAGATTCCACTAACACATTTGCCCCCAATTATAAAAAAATGCCCCCAATTAAAAAACATTTCCAAATTCCACTAACACATTTGCCCCCAATTTAAAAAAAATGCCCCCAATTCATTTTAAAATTATCATTTAAAAAAAATTTGCTCCATTTAAAAAATTTGCCCCCATTTCTTTAAAATTTGTCAATCCGAAATGGGATTGAAAAAGGAATTATATGGACCCCTGAATAACATATTATTTTTGCATTTTTGTTCACTTGATTATATATTTTATAAGTTTTGCACCCAGCAAACAAGGCTAATCCTGTTTTTCTTTGTCTCACCGGAGGAGGTATGCAGGGTTACCCACAAAGGATAAGACTGTAAAGACGACTTGAAACTCTGAAAATATTGTGATTTCAAGTTTAGATCAATTCTTCTTCCTTGAATATTGCATTTAAATGGCTTGTTCTGTAGGCAAAAAAATAAGTTTACAAGGAATCATGAATATAAAGAAACAGACAGTATATATTTCGTACAGTCGTCTCTGAAGTCTTATCATTTGTGGGTAACCCTGTATTTTATTAGAGAGATAATAGAAAAGTTACCAACTCTCAGAGAAATCAGATTAATTTAGCTTTCAGAGAGAATTCTTCTCTTTCCCTGTCTACTGTAGATAAAAAGAGAACTGGATTGATGACAGAGCAGATCATCTATATTTTGCAGAGCTAAAGGGACTATTGGCTTAATTTAAAATGACCCTCCATTTAAATTTATATAGAGTGGCATTTCAGATTCAAACTGGTGCCCTTAAAGGATGTGTCTGATCAAGAATAAATTTGATGTAACTTGTTTTTTTTCTTTTTGAAACATTTTAAATTTTATTATTATTTCCAAAGTTGATTTCGCGCCCATTAATGATGCTGATACAATGGAGGAAATATCAGAATTAAAAACTTTTCAAGAGTGGCATATCCGATTCACAACGGTAACCTTAAAAACACTACAGAGATAATTATTTATCGCATGAAGGGTTCTATGATACCGTTGTGAAATGGGCATGTCCTTCTGTACCTGGAGCTGGTTACTTGAACAACAAAGTTTTCCTCAAAAAACATTGTGTGTATGGTTGGATCGTCTTCAATTTTCTTGAGAAACGATCGTTTTGATTTTAAAACGACAAAGAAAAAACGAAAGACGAAAAGGTCATTTTTAAAAAGGATCGTTTTTGAAGATGATTTTTAAAATTAAAAACGTTTAAGTCGTTTCTTAGTTTTAATTCGTCGTTTCGTTAAGGAAGGTAGGTCGTTTTTTAATTTTTGATGATCGTGAACGATGCACCATTATTAAAGACCGTTATAAAGTCGACCCTTTGTTAACGACCGTTATAAAGAGGAGCCTTTGTCAACGATCGTTAACGATGTTTTTTAGACAAAATACATTTTTCGGTTGGAAATCCCTTAAATCAGAAAAACCTTTGGCCAGAAAATTCTCTAGATAAAAAAAACATTTCGGACAAAATTTATAAACTTATCTTCATGAAAAAATTGAAATTAATTGTCATAAAACTACGATTCATTAGCAAAATTTTTCTTCAAAAACTCGTTTTATAAAAAACATAATGTATTGCTGTTCTGTTTTTCGTTTTTTTAAAAGTTCAAAACCAGGGGGTTGTTCGCTTTGACCCATTGAAAAACGTTTGAAACGAAAAACTATAGTGTTTTTGATTGCTTTTAAAAACGTTTAACAATCCTACGTGTGTTAATCTAATGCTATACAAACAATGAAAGCGCCACATTTGTTTTAGAAAATAAATTTTAATTTGGTATTTTCCTCTTTATTTACCATGTAAATCAACGAAAACCAAAAATCACAAACACTAAACAAATATTTGTCTATTTTATTCCGTATAATATATTTGATATAGCATGTCAAATATTTAAAAAAAAAATTTTAAAGATATTTAAAGATTTTTAAAGATATTTTCCAATAATCTGGTAAACTTTAATCTAACAGTTTTCCGTTTTGAAACATTCATGACTTTAATCTTAAATTCTAGTAGACTTTACTAAGTCTTCGATGCATAACATATTGCAAAAAAGGATGTATTAACCAAATTTCCAAACAAATTTTAGTTTATTGTTTAAGTTCTGAAAATTACCCTTTTTGAAAAAAGTGCTCGGTCCATTTTAAAACTGTCTCCTAGCCACTGGGCTCTGCCAGAATTTAACTATACTCGACCTAATATTTTTTATAATAAAACATTTTTTGAAAAATTAAACTTTTTTATGCACTTTGAGGACATCACCAAAAGAAAATTTCATCATATTTGATGTTTCATGAGGTTAAAAAAAAATTTTAGAAATGAATGCAAAGTAAATTATTGCAATGCAAATTGATTAAGCAAAACTAATCCATTTTTCTAATCTAATTAATTAAGCAGAACTAATTTATTTTTCTAATCTAATTGATTAAGCAGAACTAATTTATTTTTCTAATCTAATTGATTAAGCAGAACTAATTTATTTTCTAATATAAATGATTTTGTTAACATAGTATTGTAAACAACAAAATGGCGACTGGGGTGGAGAGTAAACCTCCAATTTATTAAATCTGAAATGAAAAGCTGAATTTAGTAGTATTTTCAGAGAAATCAATATTTCACTTAAAATATCTGACAACATTTAGAGAGATTTTAATAAGTAAACAGCAGCGCATACATATAGAAATACACAATAGTGAGCCAAAAATGAACGGTTAATTTAATTGAAAGAACCGTAGTTTCAATTTAAGTAAAGAATTGCAGTTTATCTTTTCCACTAACTTACATGTGGATTTCTAGTTGGATTTTATGGTTTGAATGGATAAATAGATATATAGATCATGTCGCGGCGCCTCTGTTGCAATTTTTATTGGTCTTTAATTACTGTGTGGTTTCTCTAGGAAATAAGGCGAACTAACTTATCACTGTCCTCAAACATCTTGGTCGAAACTAATGATAATTTTACGCACCTCTGACCCTTCAGTAAAAGTAAATCCAACCTAAAGTCTGACCGCGTCCGGGCGATACAGTACAAACTGGGAACGGAAAGGTTGACCCGGTTTGGAAATTTAAATGTACTATACGGCTGCCCGTGATTCAAACTTTGAATCTATCTGAATCAATTAGTTAGGCGCCTACGACTTCTCGCAAAATTAAATGGAAATTGTTGATGCAACCTTCTAATACGGTTCTTCAAAAATAAATAGATATTATATATACAATACACAAACATGCATGGTGTATGAACTTATTTCAGAATAAAATATTATAATGAATATGGGTAACTGAGAGAGTAGCAGAATATTATCTCTGGTTATGGCAGGTTAGATATTGATCATATTTATACAGTGCAGCCAAAACTGTGGAAAATGATGACGACATTTGAGCAATATTTAGTGTACTTGAAATACAGAAAATAGTTATTAGTTTTACCAGTATAGCTTAAAAACAGCTCATTAGTCTGTTTGCACTGTTCAGTGTTCATTACATTTCATGTTCATTAAACTTTCTAATCAAAATCATTACTTGAATCTAACAGTTTTTAAACTTTCAAGATTTTAAACCAAATTCTAGGAGTCTATGATGCATTACATAATGCCAAAAATAGATATATTAACTAATACTTCACTAATCGATTTTAAACATCAATATTTAGTGATATATAATGGTTAGAGTAAATACTTTAAGCAATGTAAAAGTCAGAAAACCTTAAAAACGGACAACGAAACAAAGTCCATCCCTAATTATGTCATAACTTTCTATTTCTAGTGCTAGACATCTTCATTTTTAAATGATTTTTACGTTTTTTGTCCTGCGTTTTTATGATAATCTTAGCAAGGGATTTTGAAACTATGAACCATTTAAAGTTCTGTCTAATAAGAAACAATTTGAAGAAAAGTTCGAACTTTGTATATTTGTATATTTTTTTATTTGTATATTTGTATATTTTTTTATTTGTATATTTGTATATTTGTATATTTGTACACTTGTATAGTTTTATATTTGTATATTTGTATATTTGCATATTAGTATATTTGTATATTTGTATATTTGTATGTTTGTATATTTATATATTTATATATTTGTATATTTGTATATTTGTATATTTATATATTTGTATATATGTATATTAGTATAATTGTATATTTGCTGCATATTTGTATATTTGTATATTTGTTTATTTGTATATTTACATATTTGTATATTTGTATATTTGTATATTTGTATATTTGTATATTTGTATATTTGTATATTTGTATATTTATATATTTGTACATTTGCATATTTGTATATTTATTTGTATATTTGTATATTTGAATATTTGTACACTTGTATATTTTTATATTTGTATATTTGTATAATTGTATATTTGCTGCATATTTGTATATTTGTATATTTGTATATTTGTATATTTATATATTTGTACATTTGCATATTTGTATATTTATTTGTATATTTGTATATTTGTACACTTGTATATTTTTATATTTGTATATTTGTATATTTACATTTTTGTATATTTGTATATTTGTATATTTGTATATTTGTATATTTGTATATTTGTATATTTGTATATTTGCATATTTTTACATTTCTATATTTGTATATTTGTATATTTGTATTTTGGATTCAAGTATTTGTATATTTAGATCTCGAAAATATTTGATGATTTTTAAGAATTGCCATTGAAAGAGTTTATAAGTGTATTCTGGAGAACATGGATAGTTTTACTAGCACCCCTCCTTCTCTCTCCTCTCCTATTCCTGGCTATAGAACCCCAGGTAGGAATATTCTACTAGCACCCCTTCTTCTCTCTCCTCTCCTATTCCTGGCTATAGAACCCCAGTTAGAAAAGATTCTATTAGCACCCCTACTCCTCTCCTATTCCTGGCTATAGAACCCCAGGTAGGAATATTCTACTAGCACCCCTATTCCTCTCCTATTCCTGGCTACAGAACCCCAGGTAGGAATATTCTACTAGCACCCCTACTCCTCTCCTATTCCTGGCTACAGAACCCCAGGTAGGAATATTCTACTAGCACCCCTACTCCTCTTTCCTCTCCTTTAACGGGCTACAGAATCCCAAGTAGGAATATCCCTACTGCCGACCTATTCCATACCTACCCACTAAACCCAAGGACATCTATCTGTTTTAATAACTTTAGTTTTTCTTGATAACAATTTATAATACGCTATGGTTATGAATTTATAATGCTGATTATGAAAATAAATACTTAAACATTAACTTTACTTTTTTTCTGCACGCATTGATTTAAACACTGAAACCTTATATATCTAATTTATTTTTACAGTGTTTCCTTTATTTAATTTATTTTTACAGTGTTTCCTTATATCAAATTTTTTTACAGTGTTTCCTTATACTTAATTTATTTTTACAGTGTTTCCTTATATCTAATTTATTTTTATAGTGTTTCCTTATATCTAATTTATTTTACAGTGTTTCCTTATATCTAATTTATTTTTACAGTGTTTGTATTTTCTAGTTGTTCAGGTGTAACCGTAATTTTAACTGGCCTTTCATTTGTAAATAAAGTGGCATGTAATTTTCTTTCTCGTCTCTGCTAAAATCTTATACTTACTTTTTACTTTAAGTTTATCTAAAAATGAGCAATTATCAGATAAACTGAGCAATTATCAGATAAAATAGCAATTATGAAATAAAAAGAATAACTCAGTATTTTTAATTAGACTGGGTCAAAAATGAATTTGGTCCTGCAACTTCTAAAAAGTATGATTTCTTGAAATTATGTCTACAGTTCGTTTAAACATTTGTTTTTGATTCTTGTATTTTTAAAGACTATAGAGGCTCTGAAGTGTGCCTACACTATTCTGTTAATGGCAGTTTATTGGATGACAGAGGCACTTCCACTTCCCATCACATCTATGCTACCTATGGTAATATATGCATTTTCCATCACTTCTATGCTGCCCATGGTATAATATATATACTTCCCATCACTTTTATGCTACCCATGGTAATATATATACTTCCTATCACTTTTATGCTACCCATGGTAATTTATATACTTCCCATCACTTTTATGCTACCCATGGTAATATATGCACTTTCCATCAATTCTATATTACCCATGGTAATATATGAACTTCCTATTACTTCTATGCTACCCATGGTAATATATGCACTTTCCATCAATTCTATGCTGCCCATTTATATGAACTTCCTTTCACTTTAATGCTGCCCATGGTAATATATGCACTTTCTATCAATTCTATGCTACCCATGGTAATATATGCATTTTCCATCAATTCTATGCCACCCTTGGGAATATATGCACTTTCCGTCTCATCTATGCTACCAATGGTAATATATTTACTTCCCATCAATTTCATGCTACCCATGGTAATATATACACTTTCCATCAATACTATGCTACCCAGGGTAATATATGCACTTCCTATCACCTTAATGCTGCCCATGGTAATATATGCACTTTCCATCAATTCTATGCTACCATTGTAATATATGCACTTTCTATCACATCAATGCTGCCCATGGTAATATATGCACTTTCCATCAATTCTATGCTATCCATGGTAATATTTGCACTTTCTATCACGTCAATGCTACCCTTGGTAATATATGCACTTTCCATCAATTCTATGCTATCCATGGTAATATTTGCACTTTCTATCACATCAATGCTACCCATGGTAATATATGCACTTTCTATCACATCAATGCTGCCCATGGTAATATATGCACTTTCCATCAATTCTATGCTACCCATGGTAATATATGCACTTTCTATCACATCAATGCTACCCATGGTAATATATTCCCATCCCAGAAATTTCATGCTACCCATGGGTAATATATTCACTTCCCATTACTTCTATTTTACCTTTGGTAATATATGCACTTTCTATCAATTCAATGCTACCCATGGTAATATTTGCACTTTCTATCACATCAATGCAACCCATGGTAATATATGCACTTTCTATCACATCAATGCTACCCATGGTAATATATGCACTTTCTATCAATTCAATGCTACCCATGATAATTTATGCACTTCCAATCACTATTATACGCTACCGATGGTAATATATGCACTTTCTATTACTTCTATGCTACCCATGATAATATATGCACTTTCAATCACTTCTACGCTACCGATGGTATTATATGCACTTCCCATTAATTTCTATGCTGAACTATATATATGTAGGTAGCTCTACCCCTGCTAGGGTTGATGTCTACTGGAGAGGTAGCAATCAACTACCTGAACTCGACGAACTACATGTTCCTGGGAGGCCTTATCATGGCTATAGCTGTAGAGCACAGCGGACTACACAATAGGGTTGCTCTACGAATAATAAAATTGGTAAGAATTCAATATTATGAGATTGGTAAAATTTTTTTAGAATTAGGATTTTGAATGGGATTTTCACATTTGTACAGTCCTTTTTTTTACCAGCAGCGCATGGTTTTTACCAACAGCACATTATTTTACCAACAACACATTATTTTACCAACAACACATTATTTTACCAACAGCACATTATTTTACCAACAGCACATTATTTTACCAACAGCACATTATTTTACCAACAGCACATTATTTTACCAACAGCACATTATTTTACCAACAGCACACAACAACACATTATTTTACCAACAACATATTATTTTACCAACAGCACATTGTTTTACCAACAGCACATTATTTTACCAACAGCACATTATTTTACCAACAGCACATTATTTTACCAACAGCACATTATTTTACCAACAGCACATTGTTTTACCAACAGCGCATTGTTTTACCAGCAGCACATTATTTTACCAACAGCACATTATTTTACCAACAGCACATTATTTTACCAACAGCACATTATTTTACCAACAGCACATTATTTTACCAACAGCACATTATTTTACCAACAGCGCATTATTTTACCAGCAGCACATTATTTTACCAACAGCACATTATTTTACCAACAGCAAGTTGTTTTACCAACAGCACATTATTTTACCAACAGCACATTGTTTTAACAACAACACATTGTTTTACCAACAGCACATTGTTTTACCAACAACACATTATTTTACCAACAGCACATCGTTTTACCAACAACACATTGCTTTACCAACAGCACATTATATTACCAACAGCACATTATTTTACCAACAGCACATTATTTTACCAACAACACATTATTTTACCAACAGCACATTATTTTACCAACAGCACATTATTTTACCAACAACACATTATTTTACCAACAACACATTATTTTACCAACAACACATTATTTTACCAACAGCGCATTATTTTACCAACAGCACATTATATTACCAACAACACATTATTTTACCAACAGCATATTATTTTACCAACAACACATTATTTTACCAACAACAACATTTGATGCAAATTTTAACTCTTACTCTAATATTGCATGTATAAACTTTATGAGAACTATTTTAGGTTGGGACGAGCCAAGCTAGGTTGATGCTAGGGTTTATGTTTACCACCATGTTCCTCTCAATGTGGATCTCGAACACTGCAACCACCGCCATGATGCTTCCTATAGTTGACGCAGTGGCTGAGGCGATTAATCAGGTTGGTCCTAATATCCAGCAAATATTTTTGCATGATCCGAACCATTCTAGTATTTGCTCGTATCAGCCCGTCTAGTGTACCCAGTTTTTAGTTGACCCAACGTGTTTTCTGTAACAATATATTGCTGTAGAAGGGACTGGTTCACAAAGGTTATCAATAATAATGAATAAGAAAAACGACGATATCTTCCACAATATTAATAAGAGAAGGGTTTTCAGTGTACCTGTATAAAGCGGGATTTTCTTATTCAAATATAAATTTGAAAATATTTGGTAAAAATAAACAGCCCCTTGTGTCCAAATAGTCAATCTGAGATAAACATAAAAAATGAATCACAAAGTTAACCTTTGCATTTTATTTTATTTATTATTTTATTATATATTTAAATAATTATCATTATTTATTTGCTAATTCAAAATAATAGAAACAAATTCTCTTAGAAACAATATCTCGTTTATGAAAAAGATTTGGGAGTTCCAATTGGAGCATTAAGAATTCAAATTTCAGAAGAAAAATATAATTTGAATTAATCTATTGTCAAACCTTTGTCTCATTTAATTTTGAATAGAAATAGAAATAATTTTCTTTAAGTATTTTGTTAAAGGAAAGCATGTTTTGATTAATGATGAAACTGGAAAATCAATAATAGCAATATTTTTAAACACCATAAGCGCTGTGAAATATACACAGTTTGTACCCTTGAAACCTTTATCTAATCTATATTGTGGAAGATATTGTCGTTTTTTAGGTTTAAAATATTTAGTTCTGATAATTTCCTCTTTGTTTTCCTGCAGTAGAAAACGAAATGCGCAAGTCACTTTTGTAGTGAAACTAATTTTGAAAATTGTCAGTTTTAAAAATTATTAACATTAAAATATCTAATTCACGCTTGATCAAACAAAGGTTATTAAGAGTACCGTTGTGAATCGGACCTTACAATGTTTGCATGAAAGGTCACTTGAAATCAAGCTGACAGTCCCTTTAATGATGATTTAAAAACTGACATAGATTTGGCATCATTAATCGACATTTCGGAAGATGCGTCCTCGGATGTACGTCATCCTAATATTTATTTGTCGCTAAATTAAAATGAGTCGTTTTATTTTTATTTGATACGAATATTTTTGTGAGATTAAAAAAAAGGCCACAACGAATCTCAATTTTTCATCGCCTTAGAGTGACGACAGTTTTTGATTTAAATTTAAAATTTTTTTTTTGCACGGTTCTCCTTGAGAGCTAAAAGTGACTGTACTTTTATTTAAAGTGATTGTATATTAATTTTTCAATATTAATATTTGTAACCTGATCATGAATCTAAAGTTATTGCCATTTCAAACCTTGAATATTTGTTTTAGAAGAATTAAAATATTTTAAAATCTGTAAGTTCTACGACATCCGATTACAAAGATATAAGAACGTAAGAGTTTGAAGGAAGTAATCAGTTCCTTTGCAATTTTCAGTTCATTGTATATTTGTACTCTGTGTACCCTGTACTCAGTACTCTGTACTCTGTACTCTTTACTCTGTACTCTGTACTCTGTACTCTGTACTCTGTACTCTGTACTCTGTACTCTGTACTCTGTACTCTTAACTCTGTACTCTGTACTCTGGTACTCTGTACTCTGTACTCTGTACTCTGTACTCTGTACTCTGTACACTGCACTCTGTTTGTACTCTGATTTTCTGATTTTCCATTTCCATTTAGAAGTAAAAACTCTGCAGTTAGCAGGCAATCTACCTTTTACACAATTTATTTTGCAAAACTAATTTTTAATGTCGAAAAATGCTAACAAAATGTTTGGAATATCTTACCATGGAACTGAGTTCTTGCCTCAAGCTCATTTATTCTAATCCCTTTATCTTATCAACCTGAGCTGAACATTTTAGAATTGTAGATATCAAGATTAATACTTGATCTTTTACTGTTAATCTGCAGATTAATATCATCTTTAATGATATCCAGGAGAGTGTCTAAAATTCAACCAATCAGAGAGTTGTTAGCATAAGCCAAGCTGCCAATAGGATGCCGGGAAATGTTGCTCAATAAGAGAACTCTCATTGGTCGGAACCAAGCAGGGATATCCAAATGTGAGGACTAAGCAGAAAATAAAAAATGTCCAGACTGGATATTGAGATAAAGCAAACGGGATTATTAGTATTCAACACAATATTTTCCAATTTCCAGCTTTGATTGTGTAAACCTTTTTTTCATTAAGGGTCCTCGAAATCAGGTTGAAAAGATACAAAATGAGAATTTATGGCAAAAACTCTTTTCTTATATTCCAGTCATTCTATTTCGAAATGTTTCGCTAGTTCGATATTCAGGAAAAAAAGTTTGGCTTTCTTTAAACAGTGTTATTACTTAAATATAAAGTTGAATGAACCGTTAGCTCTTGCAATTAACATTAATCAGTTTACAAATATAATATTTATATTTGCTAAATAAACATTTAGCACATGGCATAGCTGTCTAAAATCAAATTTAAAAATTATTTTTTTTTGTCTCATTTTATTTTTGAATCTAGATTATTCCAGATAAAGTCTGTACTTTTTACCAGGAGAGATATTGCAAGATGTTTCCAGTTATAAATGGGAGTTTTGGGAGAGAAAATAGGCTATTTTGTTATGAGGGGGGGGGGTAATTGATCTTAAAAACATTTTGCCTCCCCCCCCCCCCCCCACCCCCTGGAGTTTTGAAAATATAATTTCGTAATTTTTATGTCAAAAAGGGCTAGGAAGGTGCCCCCTTTCTAGTTGAGCAGCAAAGTTTTCTGCGCCCTTTCCCTTTCAGGATGATAATATACATAGTACTTAAACATACTCACTCGATACTCAATACCCATTCACAGACCCTAAAATATCTATTTAAATTCAATTACACTATAAACTGATTATCTATATATACATTATATGCATACACCACATCATCTATTAATGTTAAAAACTTTAAATAGATGGTAGATAATCACTCGTTTGTTTTTGTTCACTATAGTTTTTGTATAAGTGAATATTTCCATTTACTGATTGCGCCAATTGATGGATTCATAACTCTAATTGGATAATGAGATAGATAGAAAGATAGATTTTACCGTCTACTATTTGTATTGGTTCAAAATAGACAACAAACACATGACTGAACCCTGATTGGATCACGCGCTAATGGACTCAGCATACAGAAGGGGTTACTTTCGGGTTTAAAGGGACTCCTCATTTAAAAAGAGGGGTATGTTCGATTAACAACGGTTTCCTTGAAACTTCTGAACCAATAAATGAGCAATTCACTTTTGTGAAAAACTGCAAATGCAAAAAATGTAGTTATTTTGTACTAGAACAAACAAAGCTTTAAGGGTGCCGTTGTGAATCAAACGTACAACTCGCTCGATGGAGGGTCACTTGAAATTTCGTTTCTAACATTCTAACATTCTTTAGTCTTAGTTTAGACGGATGAATGCTAAAGAAAAGTTTAGGGTCACTTTTAATCAATAATTGGCTCCCACGTTATTTATACCTAAATACCTGTAAATCCCTGTCACCTATAAATCTTTGTGTTTAGAAAGAAGATCTACCCCTGGCCCCCCTTGCTACATCAGACAGGGTTTCAGATCTATCACATGGATCAGAGGTAAACATCAGACAGGGTATCAGATCTATCACATGAATCAGAGGTAGATGTCAGACAGGGTATCAGATCTATTACATGGATCAGAGGTAGATATCAGACAGGGTATCAGATCTATCACATGGATCAGAGGTAAACATCAGACAGGGTATCAGATCTAATACATGGATCAGAGGTAAACATCAGACAGGGTATCAGATCTATCGCTAAGAAAGGACTGGCGCATTTCTACAGCAGGAAAACATATAAGTTTTATAAGAATTTAACACAAAATTGTCCTCATGACCGAACAGATTGAGGAGGGTGACTTAAAACTACGCTTGCAGTCCCTTTAATGTACTAGCTCTCAGCATCATATTCATTTTATTTATTTAAATACTAATAAAAATCTTGTAAATGAAAATATAATATTTGTGTTAAGTCAATTATGATGTTTACATAGATACTTAAAAGATTCAACAGATTATTTAATGTTTATTTAGAAATTTAATCAAATTATTTTCTAGGAGAATTTTCAAAAATTTTCCAAATAAAAACGCATTGTTTTCTTTGATACAATTAAAAATAAGCTTTTAATGAATACATTTTTCATTAAAAATTGTTTAGACGAAACTAATAATAAATTGAAGGATAAAAAAGTGTATGATTTCATTACAGTGTGGTAATTTTATTATGATTTTATTACAAGGTGATGACATTTTTTACAGGGTGATGATCTTATTACAGGGTGATGATTTTATTTCAGGGTCTTGATTTTTATTAAAGGGTGAATATTCTATGACAGGGTGATGATTTTTATTTTATGGTGATTATTTTTTGTTAAAGGGTGATGCTTTTTATCACAGGGTGATGATTTTATTGCGGTGTGGTAATTTTATTGCATGTTGATGATTTTTTTTACAGGGTGGTAANATTACAGGGTGATTGTACTTAGTTTTATTACAGGGTGATTGTACTTAGTTTTATTATAGGGTGATTGTACTTAGTTTTATTACAGGGTGATGATTTGTTTGATGAAGATGAAACTGAATTCCAGTATAATCAACAAAGAACGGTTACTTCTTTAAATCAGGTATCACGATAAAATAAATTGTCAATTGTGCTAGGTATCACGGCAATCTAAACTGTCACATGTCTAAACAAGTATCACGGCAAACTAAACTGTCACATTTCTAGATCAAGTATCACAGCAAACTAAACTATTAAATCTCTAAATCAGTCATCATGACAACCTTAACTGTTAGGTCTTTTAATCATGTATCAAGTATGTCACATATTTAAATCATGTATCACGTATGTTACGTCTTTAAATCATGTATCACGTATGTCACATCTTTAAATCATGTATAACTAAACTGTCATATTTATAATATCAAGTCTCACGGCAAACCAAACTGTTTAATCTTTAAAAATTCTATTTTTATTCTAAAATTACCTTTTTGGACGTTGCGTCCAGATAGAATGTTTTAGACTTTTTTTAAAGGTCACCATGACTTATACTGCTTAGATTACATAAACTCTAATTTCCAGATGATCATGACCTCGATCAATACCTCGAATCATAGATCGATCAGAGGTAAACATCAGACAGGGTATCAGATCTAATACATGGATCAGANCCATTCTTGTATATCCAGGTCCATTCTTGTATATCCAGATCCATTCTTGTATATCCAGGTCCATTCTTGTATATCCAGGTCCATTCTTGTATATCCAGGTTCATTCTTGTATATCCAGGTCCATTCTTGTATATCCAGGTCCATTCTTGTATATCCAGGTCCATTCATATTCAGAGATTGGGTTTATAACAAGCAATACAGTTGATTGGTTTTAAGTTTCAATTCTTTTGAATTCTAAAAATTTTAATCTAATATTTATTTTGTTATCTAGGAAAAACACAATGGAAAGAATGACAAGGTTTTCAATGCACCCTGTTATAGAGGAAAAGGTAAACAGAAATATTTTCTGAAATATCCGCCATCTTTGTTCTGTCAAAATGTCGCCAAGGATTTTGTTCGGGATCATTTATAAATAAATAAATCAGTTGCAAATTGTGAAATTCCTTGCAGGATTTCAAAACAATAAATAAGAAAGAAAACGATAACTATTCCACTGAGTCATGGTACATTCGAAACGTCCTTTACATTAAACTTTACTATTTAGTTTTTAATCAAAGAATCTAGAAAAATTGACCAAAAAAGAAAAAATATGACAATCATTAAAATCATGTACAGGAAAGAGAACTAGTTATTTCTTCATTACGAATTAAAGATTGTAAATCTTTAAATGTCCAGCTTTTCTGATGTATATAAATTAAATTTTTTTTTCTCTATAAAACAGTTTTTTATTTAATTCTACACTTTTAGCCGGCACCAGTACTTGAACCACAGGTGAACTTTAAAGGGACTGTCAACTTAATTTTACAATTAAATTGCGGAGATATGCAGCAAAAACTAGAAAGGAAATGGAAGGCATTTCTATTATTTACAAGATAGAAAATATCATATTATAGACCTATGTTAATGAGTCAACTGGAGTCAACTAGAAATCTGGCAACAGTCCCTTTAAGATTAAAATAATAGTTTTGTCGAGAGCGCTTCAAAGCCTAATATTGGTCTATTCGTTTTTTATTAAAATCCATCTATTTTTGTTTCTATAAAACGATATTTTTATTACTGCTGCTGATTTATGATTAATGCTGGGCATCGTTTTGAGAGATTTATGTTTTAAAATGTTATCAAAAATGTGAGTTACTAATAAAATGGCAAAATGTTTCCTCGATAAGCTTGCTTTAAATACAATATACGAAATTTTTCTCTGATTGAAGATATTATCAAAAACGATTTAAAAAAAAACGAAAAACGAAAAATCGTTTTGGTTAATTTCTTTGTTCAGGATAAAATTATTGTAGATAAAATCGAAGCAAACTTGCCAGGCAGATTTTTGTGGAGCCTCTTAAGAATATAAAAATATATTTAAAAATGGTTCCAAAACTATGCCATCAGGAGTTCTAGGTTGTAATGTAATGTCATGATAGTAACAATTCAAGCTTTATAAGAGTTAGGGTCAAACAAATAAAACTTTCTTTTCCTTGTAGAAATAAAGCAAAACAAGAAAAATATGTGTTTTAGTTCATTTTCTTACTGTTTATCTCAAATTCATTAAATTCGGACTCTGTTTCTATTTTTTGTTCTTTTTAACAAATTCTGTCATTAACTTTTCAAATCTGTCCCTTTATTTGGATCTATCTCAATTTTGCATACTTTCTCTTTAATATAAAAAATTGTATTTTAGTCTAATGTAGTAGAGGACACGTTGCCAATATATACTGAGACAAAGGTAATCAAACATTTAAAAACAAACATTAAAAACAAACATTAAAAACAAATAATACTTCTTTCATCTTTGTGATAATTATTTTGTAACAAATTTTAAAAAATCTCAAAGAAATATTTTTATCATTTTCCTTGTCGTTATATACAGGGAGTCCCACCAAACATAATGTTATATACAGGGAGTCCCACCAAACAAAATGTTGAGAACCGATCTCACTAAACTTGCGCTTTTTGGAATTCCAGAGAAGTGGTTCAACTACCTCTTCTTAGTTAAACTATAATTCTTCATCAAACCCGACCACATGACTACGAAACCATTTATTTTAAATTAAAATCCCTGTGTTCAGGGTTCTGAGGGTTCTGTTGTGTCGAATCAGAAGGAAGAGTTGGAGAGAAACTTCCTGCTCATGAGGAAACATTTTATACTGTTTTATTCAACAATATCGTATTCTTTTATGTTCAAGTTAAAACGGTATTCAGTTCAAAGTTCTCTGTAAATAATGATTATCAGAATTGAATTGATTTTTAGAAAGTACAAAGATCTAATTTCTAAATCTGTGATTTTAAATGAAGAAAAATGATGTTTAGCTATTATCTACCACATTCATTTAAAAAATATCTGGACCATATTGTAGAGTCGAAACATTTATTATTTTTTTAAATAAACCAAATCAGCTTTAAACAGAGGTTGACGGAACTTGGAGCTTTAGAAGCCGTTAATTTTAGACCGAACTCGGATATTGATGAAAATAACACTGAATTTTGAATGCAATGCGTGTTTATCTCTTTATCTAAAATCTGCGTTATGATATTATCCATCTGGACTATTTTGAAAAATATATTTTTTTCGACTTTGCAGGATACACACTTCGTATTTCAATGTATATGAATAATTTTGTTCGATTTCAACCACAGATTTTAATTACTCAAGAAATCTAGTACGCTTTTGATGGAGGCAGCATTGGAATCGAATTTTTCAATACCTTCCAAGAGAGTGCAATGAACTTTTTACGTTTTCATTTTTGAACACAAACTGCATGATCATAAGCACATTAAGTATTCATTTATTGGTTAAAAATGGGGTGGCAAGTGAAGAGTGTCAAATCTGTACCTTGTATTTAATGTTGTACACTGTACAATATCTATAAATCTTGTATTTAATGTACACTGTACAGTATCTATAAACCTTGTATTTAATGTTGTACACTGTACAGTATCGCGTATGCTGCTAATATTGGAGGAACTGGTGTTATAACTGGGTCTCCTCCGAACCTTGTAGTTCCAGATATTCTCAACAAATCATTCGGACCAAACACAGGTGTAAAAATAAATATATATTCAAAAATATCAACTTAAAAAAAATATCAATTCTAAGTTTCTAATCCTTATATTTTTGTCTTTTTAAAATCCAATGTAGAGCAGAATTATGTTTTTAACAATGGAGGATAAAATGAGTATTACAATTCTATATTCTAAACTTTTAGGGTAAATTTATAAATGAAAGATTTAAGGATTAGAACATTACTGTTTGAGATGAGTAAATGTTGTCCTTTTTCTATGAACTAATCATTGAAATATATATATTTACAATTTGTTAACTTTTCTTAATGATTGTTTATCTTATAAACAGAACACGACTGCATATACTATACACATAAAGGACAAAAAAGAATGAAAAATTGTTCAAATATTTTTTTTCCGAATATTTCTGTAGCCTGATATTTGTTCAGGACTTACCTTTGCTTCATGGATGGCTTTTGCAATTCCTGTAATGTTGGTTAATCTCATCCTAGGTAAACTTTCTAATAATAAAATTTTAATTAAAAAGTATATTTTTATCCCTCATTGCCCTATACCCCCCCCCCTTCATTGATACCCAAATTTTATATAGTGAAAGACACTTAAATTTTGAAATTTAAATAAACCATTTTTTCATGTAAATTTAGAATATTTTTTTTGGCAAAATTTAGAAAATCTTCCGAATCTCTTGAAGAATATATAATAAATATATATATATATACCGTAAAGACATTTTTTTTTAAAAAAAGAACCTTACTTCCATGAAAAAAAAAATGAAAAAACTTTATATACAGTTAAAGCAATACATCGAAAGAATTCATCAAATGTCGTATTCTTCACTTTCTGGTAATGGAATGGTGCAGATTTTTGGTTATGTTATTAAATGATTATATCAAGCTCTTTAATACTGTTCCCGCATATTCATGGCTATTTAATTATTTTCTCAAATACTGAGATATACGTAAAATAGTATAAACCCCATTTATTAATTTATCTCCCAAACTTTGCGATGTAGAAACTTTAAAAACATTTATCAAATTGAAAAATAAACTTTTTTATTATTTATTCAATGTAAATTTGGAATTTTTTTTTAATTAGTCAACCTTGAGACTATATCCCATTAAAACCATTTCAATTATAGAAATTAAATCTTTGGCCCAAACTCTGATTTTCTAATCCCTTTATGTTTGTAACCCAATGTGGTAGACCTCAGATATTTCCAACTATGTATTCTATTGGATCAAATAATCTAATCTTAAAATATCAAATGTTTAAACCATTAGGTAAAAAATGTTAGGATTAGAAAAATTGAGTAATTGTGGCAAAGATATTCTTTTCATTTTTTTTCAGCCTGGATATGGTTACAGAAACTACAGAAGATGTACCCTGGAGGTCATGGATTAGAGAGATCTCAGGACCAGGTAAGTGTACTGCATAGTTTTTTTATTATTTTTTTTTTTGAGGTGTACAGAGCATTAATTCAAGCTAATTCTTTATTAATGTACAGGGTTACCCTCAAATGGTGGAGACTGTAAAGATGACCCAAAACTTTAAAAATATGACAATTTGAAGCTTAGTTTTTGGTTTTTGCACTCAATTATGTATTTTGATGGCTTACTTAATGATTAAGCACAGAAATAAGCCAGTTTTGGCCTACAAGGAACCCTGATCGAGTGCAAGGAAATTGACCAAAGAAATTCCGCACAATCGTCTCTGAAGTCTCATCCTTTGTGGGTAACCCTGTATATGCCGGGTCTACATATTTAATTACTATACTATTTATAATTAGTATATTTGCCATGTTGATATAACACTAGGGGACTAGACTTGTGTCATTTAATTTAAATTGCAAAGAAATATCGGGATTTTGCCAATTTCTTTTTTAAACTAAATCTAGAATGTATTGGTTTGTTAAATCCAAAGGCCAAGGTGATGCAACACTTGGAAGTCAACCAGGTCTTCAAATTTGATGCAATATTGTTAAACAATTCTTAGTAAAATGTGTGTTTTAAAGATATCGATGATTTTCAGTGAGCACTGAGCATAATAAAGTTTGATTATGAAAAGTAAGTTTACATGAATATGAGAGCGTTTAAACACATTAGTATTCTTTCTCGTCTCTCTCCTTAATTTTGTTTAACTTAATTGGTGAAACTTTATACTTTTGTAGAATATTCAGCAATTACTGAGCATAAGGGGTAAGGGGGGGGGGCATCGTTAAAAAGGGTTCGTTTTTACAATGATCGTTTCGTTTTCAAAATGATCGTTTTTTACTTTTGCTAACGATAATTTATTTTTTAAATTAATCTATCTCTAATGCATTTTTTCAAAATTTATTATTGCGGTTTCATTTATTTTGTATAGTTCTATATCGTTTTTCAAAAAGTGCCCATCCCTAATTGTGGTCAGTGGATACACTGTTAAAAGAAACCGAAAGAAAAAGAAGGAAAAAGGGGTGAAAGAAGAAGAAAGAAGGCAAAATAGAAAGAAGGAGAAAGCTGAATAAGTAAAGGGAGAAAGAAGGAGAAAGCTGAATAAGTAAAGGGAGGAAGAAGGAGAATAAAAGAGTTAAGAAAAGAGAAGATAAAAATAACAGCTATTTCTGTATGGAAACATGTTACACTAACTTTTATTTCGATATTTTGAACATAAAATCAGGAAAATAAGAATTTCTATCAAAACAATAGGACTTTCAGAATTTGTGTGATCTCCTTAAAATTACGTTCATAATTTCTATCAAAATTATAAGATATAAAAATTTGTGTGATAACCTTAACATTCTGTTCATAATTTTTATTAAATAATCCTTTGGCTAGATTCATTTTAGGTACAAAATGTTTTTTTTCTAATAATATGGAAGAAAAGAAATCTTTTCCTAATACCACGTTTCCTTGGTTTAAAAAAAATTTAGATTTACTTTTTCATTGACTAATACTTAGGCTGGTTTTTTGTAAATATTAGAAAAAATTTTCATTAAATGATTCTTTTTTTGATAAATATTTTATGTTTAGTAAGCATAGTAAATACGCCATACTACAGCCACTAGCAATGAAAGAAAGTTAATAGTATTTTAAAATAGACCTTTGGAAATACAGCCTAGAGAAATACATTCACTGCAAATTTTTAAAAATTTGACTTTTTTAAATAAAAACTTCGGATATATATCCATAAAAATGCAATCTTTTTAAATGCAAACCTTTAAAAATCCAACTTTTTAATTTTCAATCTTTGGAAATTGAATTTTTGTTTTATAAATCTTATTTTTGTTTTGTTTTAGGAGAAGCGGGCAATGCAAGTCATAAATGATCGATACAAAAGTGTAAGTATTATGGGGAGTTTTTATTTGTACAAACTGCATTATTAACGTTATAAAAATTTATAAACCCCTCAGAGAATTCGGAGTTTTAAGCGCCGAACATCTTATTCAAAATATCAAATATCCTTTTTTAACCTAGATATCTATATTTTCTAACCTCAAATTATTTAATTATTTTCTACTTTAAATGATTAAATACGTTAATTTTCCCCTGTATTCGATCTTGCAACTGTTTACAATTGATTAAAATTTATTACAATTGATTACAATTTATTACTATTTATTACAATTTATTACAATTGATTAAGATTTATTATAATAGATTACAATTAAATTCGATTTATTACAATCGATTAAAATTTATTACAATCGATTAAAATTGATTACAATTGATTTCAATTGATTAAAATTGATTACAAATGAATATAAATGATTACAATTGATCACAAATGTTTACAATTGATTACAATTGATCACAATTGATTAAAATTGATTACAATTGATTACAAATGATTACAATTGATTAAAATTGATTAGAATTTATTACAATTGATTAAAATCAATTACAATTGATTAAAATCTATTACAATCGATTACAATTGATTACAATTGATTATAATTAATTACAATTGATTACAATTGTTTAAAATTAATTACAATAAAACAGTAAATAAATAAATAAAATTATTTTTTTGTTAAGTTAGGAGATATGAGTCTGCATGAGGTTCAGGTGTTTATTCTGTTCGTCCTCCTCATCCTTCTCTGGTTCTTCAAGACCCCCCTCTTCATGCCAGGCTGGGGGGACCTATTCGTGGTGAGTTCTATTATAAAGTATAATATACGATTCACAACGACACCCTTACAAGCGTTATCTGATTAAGATTGAATTCGATATTAATTCTTTTCCATCTCGGTATTCTTCAAAAAATGTAACTTGCGGATTTCCGCTGCAAAAATAATGGAGGATGTTGTGAGAATCAAACACTTTTTCAGCTAGAAAAACGAAAATATTGTTCTCAATATTGATTAGATAAAGGTTTCAAGGGTACCGTTGTGAATATGACTTGCCCTTATATTAATCGTCGCTTGAGCTTACAACGCCTACCCTTTAAATACTCTATGGAGACTTTTAAATCGCTTTAAACTATGCGTTTAGTTTAATTTTATATTGATTTAAAGGGACCTGCGTAATGATAAGTGACCATTCATTTGAACAGGTGCATCTTTAGTTACAATGGTACTCTTTAAAAATTAAAAATAAAACCTAAAAATTGTAACTGAAAAGATTGTAATTTGAAAATTGAAAGTTTTATAATGTTTTTTTTTTTCTCATGAATTTAATCTCCCTGCATAATATGTTTTTTTTTATTAAACTTATACGGTAAGAAAACTGTTCTTCTCTAGAATATAATTAATCTCAGAATAAAAATTAAAAGTTTGTAAAAGTGATAATTTCCTTCACTATGACAGGTTGACAAATTAAATAAAAAATCTCCGGAGACAGAGTTGTATAATGAAAGTAGAAAAATCTTCATTACTCAAATCAGAAAAAAAGGGGGAATCCGCTGTTTTATTTTTCACCCAAGAGTGAACAGCAATTTTTTTTATTTCAAAGGATTTAGATAGAAGTTGAGTCTTGTTGCTAGAAAAAAATAAAACATTTTGAAGAAAACTAAATATTCTTTAGTAAACTGTGTTTTCAATTTACTTCAAGAAATCTCGGGAAGGGAAGATTATGGGGTGGGGGGAGTGTTTTATTTCCTGTTTTTATACAGTGGTAGTCGATGATATCATACAAATGAAGACGACTTTCGGTTATAATTTTGATTTCAATCAAGCTTTGAAACAATATGGATGCACAAAAACATGGAAACAAAGAGAAGTTGTCAATTAAAAAAGCTTCACTGCAATAACTTGTAAATTTGTAATTCGGAAAATGCTTGTTAACAATTAAAACTTAAATAAAAACGTCGTCTTCATTATATTGAAATCGTTTACTACCGTAGAATATTTTATACATCTTGAATATGAGAATTCAAGACAGCTGCAATATGCATACTATTTATTAACTCTTTTCTTTACATTCATGTATACCTGGAGCTTTTTAATTATTTATTTTTAGTTAAACCATAAAATTGTAAAATAGGAAGACGACATTTCAGCAAGTTTCTGTGGGATTGAATATTTTTATCATTAATAGCTTGAAATTGGTATGTGTACAGCTACACTACACTGCACAAATGTTGCGTAACGTGTACAATGGACTTTACAAATTAATAAGTTGATTCTATCAGTCGTCTTCCTACTACACAGTTTTGTGGGTCCTGATGTATAGTGAATATGACTTCAAGGGTAAAGACCAAATTAAATTATAGGATCGTCATATACAGTGAGAATAAGAAAACTCTGGAATAGGAAGACGACTTTTAGACCTAAGTTATGACTTTAAAAAGTCAAATGTACAGTAATAGTGCAGTGTAAACATGCCTATTTCATTGAATTCGTAATTTAATAAATTAATAGTAATACTGTTTGCTTAGTAACAATATCAAATACACATAATTACTGCTAAAATGTTGACTTTCAATTTCACAGTTTTCAGGTTTTACTGTACAAAAAATTTCAAGTCGTCATCAAAATGATATTATTTTTGGTTGATTATGTTATCAATAATAATATAAATGTTAAAGGAAATAAGTATTTGCAACAAACTCTGACTTTCTAATTCCTATAACTTGGCAACCAATTCTCCTAGACCTTTCATATTTCAAACTATTAATTCTTTTAGATCAAATAGTCTTAGTTTGAAATATCAAAGGTTTACACCATCAGGTTGCGAAGCTATAGGTGTTAGAAAATTTGAGTTTGTTGCAAAAATCATTTGAACTGTGCTTCAACTGAGTGAGTACGTAGCATGATTAGCTTAATCATGTGATATATATATAATGACGTACATCTTCATTGCGCCTATTTTAACTGTGCTGTAAATATGTAACCTGATTATCTTAATCATGTGATACAGAAAACGACGTAGGAATTGTAATTACGTCTATTAACTTTAACTTGTAACATAAGAACCTCAAATACATTAGTTGATATATAGAGATTCCGCTGTGATTACTGCGAGAGAGTAATCGTGCCTATTGGTTTGGTATTGATAGTTACGTGCTTGTGTCCCTAGATACATTGATAGCTGAACGTGCCCATTGGTTTGGCATTGATCGATTTTGTGGTTGTGTCTGTGTAGACATTGATAGCTGATCGTGCCCATTGTTTTGGCATTGATCGATTATGTGCTTGTGTCTGTGTAGACATTGATAGCTGATCGTGCCAATTGGTTTGGCATTGATCGATTATGTGCTTGTTTAAGTTGAAGATTGACTGAATTTAACCTATAAGTCTATATTATCTGTATTAAAAAAAATTGAGTAATCATTAAAGTTTCATCTTATAAGTCTACCAGTGTAATTTGTAATTCAAAAAAATAATTTCAACATTAGGTGGAGGTTTTGCTCTTGCTTCCGCCTCCCAGAAGTCTGGTCTCTCCGCCCTTCTGGTTGAACAGCTCGAGGAGCTTAATCTGCAAAGTTTGCCAACTTGGCTGGTAAAAAATAAATAATTTTACTTTAGAAGACGACATTTTTTTAAACTAAGTCGACTTTCTAACAAAACATATATTCTAGTTAAATGTTGTAATCTGCCTGTTCACGGTGTCTCTAACGAACATTGCCTCAAACACCGCTACGGCGAACGTGTTGGTTCCGATTCTAGCAGAGATGGCGCTCACAATGTGCATAAACCCCATTTATTTAACTCTTCCCGCTGGTAAGTTGCAAGGTTAATGCAATAGTGTTCGGACACAGTACAATGAAAACTACAGATATGATGAAGGTAATCCGCGCAATTATATTTATGAATGTCGACTATGTGTTCAATATCTGCATATATTGTCCAGGCTGGACTACCAATGAATGTCGTCTGTGAATTTAATATCTGTATATATTGTCTAGACTGGACTACTAATGAATGTCGTCTTTGTATTCAATATCAGCATATATTGTCCAGGCTGGACTACTAATGAATTTCGTCTGTGTATTTAATATTTGTTTATATTGTCTAGGCTGGACAACTAATGAATGTCGTCTGTGTATTCACTATCTGTTTATATTGTCTAGGCTGGACTACTTATGAATGTCGTCTGTGTATTCAATATCCGATTATATTGTCTAGGCTGGACTACCCATGAATGTCGTCTGTATATTCACTATCTAATATATTGTCTAATCTGGACTACTTATGAATGTCGTCTGTGTATTCACTATCAGTTTATATTGTCTAGGCTGGACTACTTATGAATGTCGTCTGCGTATTCACTATCTGCATCGCTATTAACTCCTACGGTGTTCCACTGTTTAACCTAAGCACTTTCCCAGATTGGGCCAGGAACATCCTTTTATACTTTTTAAAAATTCAAAATTTAATTTGAAAAAAAAATTACAAATCATATTTAAATTTTATTTTATTTCTTTAAAAGGATGGATTTTAGCATTAAACTCTCCAATTCGTCTTACTGTGACGCAGCATAAATCAGTTCAAAGCACAACCTAGTCGGAGAAACCAGACGCATCAACCAATTCTGGAGTTCCAGGTTCATACCCGTCCTGACAAGGTCTAAGTTAATCCCAGAGTAATCAGATCTATTCCCAGCTGCCAGAGTAGTCAGAACTAAGAAACAACCCAAATCTAGAATATAGAGTTTTGTGTGGATATACAGGGTGTCCCACGAAACATGACAGTTGATGAAAAGTTTAAAATGTCTTCTTCCATAATATGTCATAATTTGTCAAGTTGTATGTTGCCAAAGAGAATCCTAATAAATATTTTATGGCATCCATATTATAGTAAAATTGATTTCTAAGTGAAATATATTTGAGTAAAGTTTTTTTAAAGTAATAAACTGCAAAAAGTCTCTAATATTTCATACAGCATATGGAAGAAGACATTGACAACTTTTCACCAACTGTCATGTTTCGTGGGACACCCTGTAGTTTAACTTTAACACTTGCAATCTCAATCTTCAATCCCTCGAATAAAGTTGTCTAAAACCATCACGGTATCTCGAAAAGGAATTATAAATGAATCTGTAGATATGCATAGGACGGGGATCCAGTTCATATTTCAATTTTCAAAGGAACTGTAAGCATACCATGACATACGAAACTTATACTAGTGAAGTCATAGATCCAACCCCATTCTAGAGTATAGTCATATTCTATGTTTCTAACCCAACCTAAAGAAACACAAACTAATCCTGAGCTGGTATGTTTTGAGTTTACAGATATACTTATTATATTTAAAATTAGTTAAATTCACTATCTAATATCTCTCTATGATCAGCTATTTGAACGCTTGATCAATGAAAGAGTTTTTCCTTCTGCTCTAGTTCGAATAGTTTGGGTTTCTAGAACTTAGAAACTGCGTTTTAATTGAGAAAACTGATTTTAATCTGTTTAAATGAGATAAGCTCAGTTTATCATTTTAATCTTAATCAAACTTTAAAATTCTGATAATTAATTAAAATCTATTCTGCCTGTGCAGAAGGTTTTCCATAAAATGGGGGTAAAACATTTTCCTAAATATAAACGAGAATACCTTTCCTGTGCTGGTCAATATGATTAATCTTGCCATGTGAAGTATTATTCAATAATAACCATTACGCAGTGGAAATATGGTTTTTATTAATCTTCATATCAACTAGAAATTCAGTTAAGAAATTCTTATTTAAAGAAATATAAAAGATGACCCATTTCACTATTTTTTGCTTATCACTATATGCATCCATTTTATCTAGACTATATATATTTTTAACAAAGTGATCGCGATACACCGTAAACGCTTTCATAATGTCAAGCTAAGTTATCGTAAACGTTAAAGCCCTATAAATATTTAAATTCAATTATATTAAAAATTATATGAGTAAATATGATGTTATTGTTTTTGCTTTTTTAGACTTATGAATATAATATATTCAATTGTGATTTAGCGAAATATTTCGTAACACTTTTTAAAGGAAATATTTATTTATGAACTTTTACGCCTGCAATGCATGAACGTATATGCACTTTTATGCATGCAGTGCATGGACGTGTATGCACTTTTATGCATGCAGTGCATGGACGTGTATGCACTTTTATGCATGCAGTGCATGGACGTACGTGTATGCACTTTATGCATGCAGTGCATTGATATGTTCATTATAAGAAATATCTTTCCTACTTTAAAGGGCCTTGAAGCGTAATAGTATGTGAGTCTTCATCGAACGATGGCAATGCCCAATTCACAACGGTACCCTTAAAAGCTCTGTCTGATCAGCTTTGAATTAGATATTAGTTTATAGTTTAAAAACTGATGATTTTCAATGTGACTGGCGCATCGGCATTTCTACTGCAGGAAAACGTGTAATTAAGAATAATCAAATTTAAATACTAGAAAAACGAGAATATCTTCATCATTATTTATCAGATAATAGTTTCATGTTATCCTTGTGAATCTGGCAATGCCATCTTTGCATGGAATCTACGCTTACAGTACAGTACAAGGACGACAATATCATACAAAAAATCCAACCTTCAAACCTTCAAAATTAAACCTTTGTATAATTAGCAATCCCTCCGAGTTTCAATAATTCTTTTTTAAACCTTTATAACCTTGTCCTAATCTAAAAATCAAGTTAAAAAATTAAGAAAATGTCGTTCCAAGTTGATTTTCAATTTATAAATATATAGAAAAAAATTTTCATTTTCATTTAAAAGTACAAACACGCTTTGTCTACAAATTAAGGTTGTTAAAAATACTCGAAATACTTTAATTTTCGTAATTTATTGAAATATATATATATATATATATATATATATATGATGAGAAGAATAAGAAAGGGTGAAAAGTCTGAAAATGATAATAAAAGAAAAAGATAATAAAATCTTATAATCTATAATAAAATGGAATCATCTGTAAAACTATTTGTCTATGAGTCTACACTCTACCCAATTACATATTTGGCTCAAAAATACCATAATAATATAGACTCAGTGGAATATAAATTGAGGTTAAATTAATGATTATTAAACCTAATATACTATATCACACTTTACGATATCCGGATCTTAGAATAGAAATTCAAATATAGAACGGACAACGTATATCCAAATATAGAACGGACCACGTATATCCAAATATAGAACGGACCACATATATCCAAATATAGAACGAACCACGTATATCCAAATATAGAACTGACCACGTATATCCAAATATACAACGGACCACGTATATCCAAATATAGAACGGACCACGTATATCCAAATATAGAACGGACCACGTATATCCAGATATAGAACGGACCACGCATATCCAAATATATAACGGACCACGTATATCCAAATATAGAACGGACCACGTATAACCAAATATAGAACGGACCACGTATAACCAAATATAGAACGGACCACGTATATCCAAATATAGAACAGACCACGTATAAAAAGTAAACAAAGCATGCATCCTGTCTGTATTAGAATATTTTCAACCATATTTCAACCATCTCATTTAAGATCCGTAAAAATAAGAGATATTAAATGCTCAAATTAAATATTAACAATTTATAGCCCACCAAAAAAAGTAAAATATTCAAAATACGAAAAACTTACGTTTGAGGTAACAACTCAGTCAACTTTTAACCAGCCTTTTGATAACTCTTTTTTCATTTGGTGGGTGGTGGTGCATGGCCGTTCTTAGTGATTTGTCAAGTTATGTCAAATAACGAACGAGATGCTGTGAAGAAACTTTGTCAGGAACCAGCTACTAGATGGTTTTAATAGTCTTTCTCCCCTATACCTAGCTCCGACGATCGATTTGAACCTTAGAGTCTTCAATCAGGATTTCTCTTAACACAGCTATTCTAAGGGAACCAGCTACTAAATGGTTCGATTAGTGGTTCGATTCTTTATTGAGGGACATCACATTCAAAGGTAGATTAATGTATCATTTAAAGTGTTATCCAAAAAATTACACTTTAATGACGACCTAATTATCTTTAGATAAATGTTGTCTTCTGCCTTGAATATTGTCATTAAATGGTAAAATTTTAACAGCAGATTTTTCTATAATTTTTAGATTTTTAGTCTTGGTTACATTCTAATTCTATTTAATATTCTTGGATCCGGATATTGATTTGTTCTTTTTGGGTTTAGTTAATTTGCAAAATGCAATTCAGATATCTATGGGATTGGGTATGGGATGGTTAGGGGGGGGGGGGCATCAAGCACTAAAAGTTATTTCTGATGGTTTCGATGGTTATAAAATAGACCTAACACGATGTGCATTGTGCAACGTTAAAAACATTGAAAATTAAATTCGAAGATATGATATGCAGGGGCATATAATATACAGGAACTGGGCTCAACAATTTCAACTTTCCAGGGTGGGGAGGGGGGCTCTGCCCCGTAGCCCCCCTGTGTAGCATTTGTAACAGCATTTTTTTTTATGTTTCGGCCTTAGGTTTTATTTGATTAGACTAAAATGGACGAAATGGGGGGAAGAAGAGGACTGGGGGGATGGTTGAAAAGGGGAGTTAGATCCTCAGAGAGGAGGATTAGAGGGAGAAGGGGTATAGGGATATAAGGAAGAGGGAACGAAAAAAGGGTAGTTTGAAGAAGGAAAGTAAGATTGTAGGGAGTGTAGCAGGTAGAAGGGGGGAGGCGNGACTAGTAATGGTTCTACAGTATCTGTAGGATCAGCTACTCCTGCTAATATATTGAATATATTGTTTAGGTGGAGACTAGTAATGGTTCTACAGTATCTGTAGGATCAGCTACCCCAGCTATTCTAATGTGTGTACTTCTGTTCGTTCTTCCACAGGTTTTGTTCTGTGAAATTTTCGTAAACTTGAATATATATAAATATACATATATATATATATTTATATGTTTAGTAATTTGTAACTGTAGCATTCCTATTAATGTTCTCGACCTATTAATTTCAGACAGTTAAAAATTTAAAATTGTTTAATTAAAATATTTTTCACAAAAAGAAATACTTTTAAGTAAACAGATAATTTTATGATTTTGTTCATCAGTCTTTCCTCTTGTTATGCTCGATTTAATAAAAACATGAAAATAAAAAAAAAACATATGAAAATCTTTTTTTTTTGCTAGGATTACAATTTTTGGCCGTTTGCACCATTAAACAGGTAATATAAATTTGTTTTTATATTTAAAAACAAATATTTTATTCAGCTTTCAGGAGCTTACAGAATTCTCCGGGCTTAATAACTTGGAGGTTGATAGAAACAAAGATGTGCTGGGGCGTCATATTCTTGCTTGGTATGTCATATTGTAATAAATATCGGGTAAACATGATATATGTCATACCTAAACTATGTTGTACAATTTTTGGCCATTTGCACCGTTAAACAGGTAATATAAATTTATTTTTATATTTAAAAACAATTATTTTATTCAGCTTTCAGGAGTTTACAGAATTCGCCCGGCTTGATAACTTGGAGGTTGATAGAAACAAAGATGTGCTGGGGCGTCATTTTCTTGCTTGGTATGTCATATTGTAATAAATATCATATTCTTGCTTGGTATGTCATATTGTAATAAATATCATATTCTTGCTTGGTATGTCATATTGTGATAAATATCATATTCTTGCTTGGTATGTCATATTGT